AGCTAAAAAAAGTTCTGAGATATTTGGAAGGAAGCTGATCCTATCAGAGAGAATTTATATGATTCTATTAATTGGTGACTGCAGTGTGCATTCACCAATTTATAAAATGCTTAAATCATCCTGATTTCTTTAGTCTGGACATTTTTTTGGGGGATATGTTAAAGACCAGTGTCCAAAACTTGACCAACTATTGTCGACAACATGAGATAAATTATTGGGGCTGCTTTTCTTCAACTTCACATATTATGCCTCTTAAAGATATTGTTAAATATAGTATATCACAGCCACCTAGCTTTTATGAAATAATAAAGATCTACTGACGCAAAATTACAAAAGTGAAAATATCTAGGAAAATCTTTGTCTAAGGGGTAGGCAACCTCAATAGTATTTTGAAGATATATAAATTCTTTATTGAATATTAAAATAATATACTGGGAGTTCTATTTAAAATAAAGGAGTAGCTTGCTTTTAAAAGTGACCAAATGTTCAATATTAATTTTGTATCACTCTGTATAATTTTTCGGGTCAAATTTTAATTTCGTTTAATATACAATGGTTATTTTAACTAAATACCGGGCTATATACATAGTAAATTACAAGGTTATTAAAATTTAAAATGTATTCTTCATTTTCACAAAATATGTCAAAAACCGTACATTTTAGGCATATGCTTCTTTAAGGAAATTCACCTTTATTTCTCTCCCAGAATCCAAAAATCTAGAGGGTATTCTATTACAAAAAAACCAACTTTGAAGCGTAACTTTTTTTGAGGACACCTTGTAGAACTCTGTATATTTTTATAAAATGCCTTCAATTAATTTACATATGCTCCCAAAATTTTATTTTGATATAACCTACCTATCTCCTTGGAGCCTCCGCGTCATATGAGAGGCGCCATGCGCCACCCTGTATAAAACTACCCAGTAAAGAAATATACATTTTTGCCATTTTTTACGTAAAAAAAGTCTCTTGGTAAAAATAGATATATACGAGCAACTATTTCTAATATATTTGGAATACATTATTACATATCATATAATATTGACAAAAAATAAACATCTTGTTTAGATACCTAGTTATTTGACTGGTATGGTAAGTTTGAGGACTTTATTTTTTAATTAATCAAAAATTTTTCTAGAAGAATTTATGATAAAACAGTTTCTGTTGAACACAAAAACATCTCAAATTTATTATTTCAATCTGATAACTATCTAATCAACATGATTAATAATTTTTGTCAATGCTGAGTGCTGAGACATGTATTGACTATTTCGATTCCAAATATCTCGGGAACCAGTACTGGTAGCTACCCATATAACACAATACAATCCTATAGATATCTTGAGGATATCCACCAAGTAATGGTAATAAAACTATAGTAAATATCTTAGGGATATCCAAAAACTAGAGGAGGATATTTATGGGATATCCAGATGGGACAAAAAAAGTCATCTTCAAGACATCCCTAGGCAAGCCTTTTACGATTATTTGGGATATTTATACGATAATACAAGAATGATGTTCAGAGCATTATAGAATATTTTTAGAACATTATATGAAGACTGTTATTTGACAATACTTACTTCATCCTTAGTTTATAGTAAAAACGTTTGCGATTTAGTTATATTTAGCCACATTTTGACGTTATTCATTGGATATTTTTATTAGCAACTCTAAAATATACCTACATATTATGTCAATGAATTTTGCGTCAAAATTTAGAAGTTTATTTGTATGAGTTAAGAGCTTTCAATTTATACAGTACCATCGAAAAAAAACGGCGTTCAATTGGCTTGAAAATTACGATCGATGACATTCCCCATATAATTATACATACAAAATAACAGCAATCTTCATTTCCAAGCCACCTCTGACGCCGTTTTTTTCGATCGTATGGTATTATACCAGATTATACTACCCTTTATGGAGTCTAGCAGTTTATGTCTAGAAGCAACAGTTTACATCAAAGTTAGCACACAGGATACAGGTATAATTTCTAACACCACACATTCCAGAGACTCACAATTTAAACACAAAAATAGGATTTTTGTTTAAATACATCAAACACGAAAATGGGTTTAGGGATAAAGAACAAGCGCTTTTCAACAAATTTTCACCTATAATTTTGTGTTTCACTACAAATTTTTCATTGAGAGACTCTGAGTCGTTCGTTGTTTTTCGACATTAGTTGAGGTTAGGATAGAATTTCTGCTAGAACAAGGCTAGAACTATGAGTATAAGAAAAAACTAAGTCAAACTCAACCAGTTTTGTTAGTTTCAGTCATTTTTAAGCCCATTCAATATCGACAAACGACCTAATTCACCTCGAATTTTACTAAATCAAAGAACTGAACACGATGTAAAAACAAACAACTGTCGAGATGGATTATGGGAAATTTTTTGCGCGGGCGTTTTAAATTCTCTGTATTACTGGGAGTGGCCAAGCTCATAAATATCCAGATTATCCAGAAGATACCAACAGGATATTTTGTTGCCTTGACGTAATATATATCCATCTGTATGGTTTATTGCATTTTATGTAATATAAAAAGTAGTACATTATTTATTTTTCCTAAATATCTAGACGATATTGTTAGGATATTTTATTATCATGAGCATGTTTGGATATCTCAACTGGATGTACATTAGATATACGACAAATATATCCATAGGATATTCTATTCTGAGACATCTACAGGAGTTCAGCATGTCTGGAGGATATCCTATAGATGTCTTTATAAGATGATCTTATAATGGGACATTCCGACATTCTATGAATATCCTGCGGATATTGTGTGTTATATGGGTAGTTTTACCGTGAGACCTTTTTTACGTAAAACAGCGGAAAAGTATATTTTTTCTCAGTAGCTTTTTTAAAGTGGTTGGTGCATGGTGAAAACCACATCTTTGTATATCTCTATTCATTAATGAGAAACACCATAAACCACACGAAAATGGGGCACCCTGTACATTATTACTCAACTACTTTAAAACTGGCTTTAAGATTACATATTAAAATCAGAAATTTTAAATGTTACTTTGTTCTGAAATAAAACGAAAATTATGTCGGTTACAAGACGCCAACAAATAAACATCTAGGTAAGATATGGTCTAACGTCACGTCTGCTCCGTACTTTATGGAGAGTGGTAATTAGCTTTTGTCCGGAGATAGAGAGTCACCAGGCGTTAAACAAACAAAAGGGTTTGTGATTCGGCCCTTGTTTGACCGTTGGTTTTCGGCGAAAGCAATTAATTTTGCCGTGTGACATAATAAGAATGGACCAGAAAGAAAGCCGTATAATGTTCAAAATAAACATCCAAGACAAGAAGTAAGTGATGAGAACCGAGGGGGTTTGTTCCGAAAAGGATGATGCTGAACGGTAAAAAAAGATAATTCATAAGTATGAATCGAATTTACAATATTGATATATGATAACTTGTGATATTTGTTAAGAAATGTTTTTAATTTGGTTAAATAAACTGAAAGTTGGATTTCTCTAAATTATTCTCTGAGTTTTGACATTTCCAATTAACATGTATTAAGCCATCGAAAAAAAAACAACGTCAGAGTGGCCTTTGAAAGGATAATTTCTGAAAGGCTGACCACTATACCTATAGCTGCCTTTTAATAAATAATGTGAATCTTTAAAAATTTTAAAAAATCGGTGGTCAACATTATACAGAGTTACTCGCCACAATTAGATTTTTAGAAATTGTGTGTGATGGGATCATCGGAAGATTACTAAAGCTACTATTTAAAATTATTTCCAAAAGGTACAGAGTGTCCCAAATAAATAAAAAATATCAAAATGGCATTTTTTAAAAAGAAACACACTGTATATTATTACATTTTTAATTTCTACGATTAAAATAAATGTGAGTTTAATTAACTCTTTCCGCACTTTAATCTTTCCGTTTTTGAAATATTTACGATTTTGCGAAAATACACTAACAATTTTAATGCTTCATTTCTCTAGGCGTATTTAAGTTTTTAAAACCAAGTATTGTACCCAAGTTTTTCTATTTACTAAATTTTGTGTTGCAATGATAAAAATAGTACTACCCTATACAGAGTGTCCAAAAATTTATATTAAATAATTACTAGCTTTCAACGGCAATAACTTGTTTAATTTAAACGGAACACCCTGTATATTTTACGGGAATCAGATGCACAATTTAATTGTTCGTCAAATTGTTTTATACCATTTTTTACCAACGACAGGGCTGTATATTGTCGCCTCTGCTATTCAATGTGTACTCGGAACATTTATTTAGAGGGGAACTGGATGGCAAAGAGGATGGGCTGGTAATAAACGGAGAAATGTGTTCCGAGAAATGCTGGTAATAAACGGAGAAAACCTGTCCCTCAACGTCCGCAGAATCAGAATCCTGAGATGCTACGTGCTCTCAAACCTTCTGTATGAAGCAGAGGCGTGGGCCCTTACCCTTTCCGACGCATCATGCAAGCTTGTGGAGGCATTTGAGAGGTGGTGCTATCGGCGCATGCTTAGGATTTCGTGGGTGCATCGCGTGTCAAATGAGAAATGAGACTGTACTACACCCAAATACGTTTAAAATAAAGTATACGGAGGGTACCGCTCAAATTCCTGTCCCGATATTGAAGGATGGCTATAGAATTTCAATACATTTCCTACATAAGTCTATCCTTGTGTTGTAGGAGGTTTGACTAAACAAGGATGAACCTATGTCTTGAAACCATTAGACTTACGATTTTCTGTCCTCCTTCAATACTGGGACGTAAATCCTCTCATTGCTCTTATGGGGAGGGCGTCGTATATTTTATTTAAACGTATTTGACTACACCGCATCAACAAGGAGTTGGAGTTTCAGGTGAGTGTCAAACGCAGAAAACTGGAATACTTCGGACACATCATGAGGAACGAGAAATACCGTCTACTCCAACTCATACTGCAGGGGAAAATAGAAGGCAGAAGATCAGCGGGACGCAGACGAATATCGTGGCTGCGAAATCTACGAATATGGACCAGATTGACGTCAACAGTTTTGTTCAGACGGCAGTGGACAAAGTAATATGGATCAATGTGATAGCCAACATCCAACGAGGATAGGCACTAAGAAGAAGAAGAATTATTTTATGAATTTTTAGACACTCTGTATAAGGTAGTATAATTATTATTACAACACAAATTATAGTAGATAGAAAAACTTCAGTACAGTATTTGGGTTTAAAAACTTAAATACGCCTAGAGAAATGAAGCCTTAAAACTGTTAACGATATTTTTACAAAATCGTAAATATTTCAAAAACTGTAAAATTAAAGTACGGTAAACCTTAATCAAATTTATCTTTATTTTAATCGTAGAAACTAAAAATGTAATAATATAGAGGGTAAAAAATAATATAAAAAAGGGTTAACTAGATGCATTTTTTTCTGATGGCTCCTTGAGACTTCACACGAACAACAAATTATCCTACCAATTTTGATCCATTACAACCACCGCCATACCCAATAACTAACGGTGCAATAATTACCAGTTTTAACCCTTGTCTTGTCAGATCCCCAAAACAAGATAAGAAATCCCGAACGAAGAAAATCATCCCACACAAATCACACCGATGCAAATACGTTTCGTCCGAAAGACCCGAGTCCGGCTGCTGATTTTTACCTGTCAAGACCTTTGTTTATTCGATGTCGTGAGATCACTGTAAAACGGGCCCATTTACATTTTAATATGTGTCTTAAGCTTGTCAACAACAAGAGCATAAATATTTCATATCGTAGGCGGTAGCCGAGCAGAGATCGGAGCCACGCAGATAACGGACCTGAACTATCGGACTAATCTTAATCGCAAAGATCGGACAGAGGGCTTCTTCTTTTTAGATATCGCCACTAAATTGAATTCGAACGACTTGTTAATATTTATAAATATCGTGAGAACTACCGTTTTGGGCGGTGTTTAGGGTGGATCGGTAATTTTTTAAATTTTTGATACTGAAGGGATTTTAACCAAGAAAGGGTCCCATATTGAAGCACCCAGAGGCAGATATACAGGGTGTTCCTTAATGACAAGCTACTATTTAAGAAGGTGATTGATTCTTGGACCTATTCTACGAAAAAAAGTTTATATGAATATACAGGGTTGTTCACCATATACGACACGGAGTATTGTAGCTAAACGATTAGATTTTTACAAACTGTAAGTTTTGGGTTTCTTGAAGGACTATTAGAGCTACAATTTAATAAATAATTTTACAAGATACAGAGTGTCCCAAATAAATAAAAAATATTAAAGCTGTATTTTTTTAAATGGAACACCCTGTATATTATTTTATTTTTGGATTCTACGATTGAAATAAAGGTAAATTTGATTAAGGTTTATCATACTAAAGCCTTACCGTTTTTGAAATATTTTAAATTTTATGAAATTGCCGTAAAAATTTTTAATGCTTTATTTCTCCAAGGGTATCAAAGTTTTTATGACTAAATATTTACTGAAGATTATTTATTGATCAGTTATAATTGTGTTAGAATTTTATACAGAGTGTCCAAAAATTTATATTAAATAATTGCTAGCTTTAAACGGCAATAACTTGTTTAATTTAAATGGAACACCTCGTATATTTTACGTGAATCATATGCACAATTTAATTGTCTATCAAATTTTATTATACCATTTTTTACCTATCTCTTCAAGTTTTCGTAGAAAATGCATTTTCTTATAATTTAGACCTCATTTATCACTATACCCATGGAATCGATTAGCATGGAATATTGACATTTCAGATTTTTTTTAAAGCAAAACATATGTACAAAATGTACTGTGTACTGTATACAAAAATATATACTTTTAAATTGTTTTAATTAATAAAGTATTCTAAATAAATGAGGATTTGGCTCAGAAATCAACATAATAATAAGTTATGAAAATGAAACGTCTCTGTTTTATAATTAAGCATTCGTCAAAAAATGAAATAAAATTTATAAGATGTTACTTTTTACCACACAGTCTAATACACATACAAAATTCAGTTTTTTAGTATTTGGAGCAATTATTATTAATCAACGTAAACAGTCAATTAATGTAGTTTGAATAATTGGTCCTCTTTAACAAAAAATATTTAAACAGATCGATAATATTAGTAACTGTACTCTTTAAAAATAATCTAAAATGTCAATATTCCATGGGTATAGCGATAAATGAGGTCTAAATTATAAGAAAATTAATTTTCTACGAAAACTTAAAGAGATGGGTAAAAATTATATTCACGTAAAATATATAGGGTGTTCCATTTAAATTAAACAAGTTATTGCTTTTTAAAGCTAGTAATTATTTAATATAAATTTTTGGACACTCTGTATAAGGTAGTAAAATTTTTATTATTACAACACAATATCTGATCAAGAAATAATCTTCAGTAAATATTTAGTATTAAAAACTTTGATACCCTTGGAGAAATAAAACCTTAAAATTTTTACTGCAATTTCATAAAATTGAAAATATTTCAAAAACGGTAAGGTTTAAGTGTGATAAACCTTACTCAAATTTACCTTTATTTTAATCGTAGAATCTAAAAATAGAATAATATACAGGGAGTTGTATATATTAAAAAAAGCAACTATAATATTTTTTTACTTATTTGAGTCACTCTGTACCTTGTAAAAATATTTTTAAATTGTAGCTCTAATAGTCCTTCAACGAACCCAAAACTTACAATTTGTAAAAATCTAATCGTTTAACTACAATACTCCGTGTCGTATGTGGTGAACAACCCTGTATACAGGGTGTTTCAAAAACTATTATGAAATAAGTAAATTACCAACAGATATTCAGGCTGAGGCGACAAACGCCATATCCAAACTACTTCCATTTAAATCCCGAATAACTTATGAAAATAAATACAAAAATTTTCAAAAATGGAAGCAATTAAAAAACGTGCGAGAAGAAATAAAGTTTTCAACCTATCCTCGCTGTTAAAATATCATTTAATCTACCCTTGCTGTTAAAGTACTATTTTATCTACTATTTTTGATAGATACATATAATAATAATAATAATAATGTCATAATAATAAGGGTGTGCATGTCGTCACCTCCTCGTGGTGCACCCTGGAAACGAGTAATACTCGGCCAACGACGACGGCTTCGGCCACACCGGTCATAGGGAGTAGCATTCCTTATAGCTGAGATCAATTGCTCCAAATAGTGCAAAGAATAAACCAGGCGGCGCAGAGTTGCAGACTGACTCTGTTCGGAACCGTCTTGATGAACAGTCTGACGCGGGAAAGGACGGAGCGAATGGCGTCTTCCTGCGGACTGGAACCATAAGAAGGCAACGAAATGGACCCGCTGAGGATGTTTTGCCGGCAGATCAGCCGACGACCACCAAAGCTGGAAAAGTTAGACAGCGAATGAAATGGACAGATACAATGAATTTACATGTTATGCGCTGTTACTATACCACCACTAATCTGGAGACCACCCCGCTTGTTAGATCTGAACTTTTAAAAATGTTTTTGAGGAAGTTTCCCGACTACACAAATATTACCGAACAGCGACTTGTGGACCAAAAAAGAATTATCATTACAAAAAAATATATTTCCGAACTCCATTTAGAAGAACTAAAGCATGAAGTAGCAGAAGAACTGAATCTCAGCCAACCTAATCTAGCATTCGACGAAATATCGAACGAAAAGGAACCTGAAACTGAAATTAATTTAGATATAAATCAAGCAACTAATCAACTCGACACTCAGTCAATTCCAACATTACCAGCCAGAGTTGAATTAACACAAATCACTGACATTGATGAGAAGCATCTTGAAACTGAATTTCAAACTTTACTTATAGAATATACAAATATGAATCCTATCTGTAGACCCAAACTTCCGAAACAAAATAATTCAAGAAAACTGATAAGATATACAAAAATTATGGATGAAAATATACTGCCAAAATATCTTCCGCATATAACAAACTTCCTTGACCTACATACACATATATATGCTGCAGCAGCAGCTATAATTAAAGCAAGTGGAGGCAGAATTCAGAACATTGAAAGGAAGCATAATAAAGATCAAAAGGAACCATGGGAAATGCGATTGGAGATAGGAATAGCAAGTATACGGGCTGATATCGGAAGAATACATCAGTATATAGAAGGAAATAAAAGCAAAAAACAAGAGAAATCTATTTTAAAAATCAAAGAAAAACATAAAAAGCACGCTGAGCGAAATCCGGACAATGAAACATTGCATGAAATATTAGATACTTTGAAACAAAAATTAAAAGCTAAAGCTGGTAGAATAAGGAGATATCGTGAATCCACACAGAGAAGAAAACAAAACATGAAATTCAACACCAGCCAAAGAGCTTATTATCGGAATTTGAAAATAAATTCAAATCAGCCTGTTGGTCCTTTACCTACCGAAGAGGAGATCGAAAACTACTGGTCATCAATATGGTCTCAACCAGTTAACCACAACACAGATTCCACTTGGATTAGAGATATAGAAGCCGAATTGTTTCATCTGCCAACAATGGAACCTATCACAATAACATCAGATTTGGTTGCTGAAGTAATTAGACTTACACAAAACTGGAAAGCAGCGGGCCCGGATGGAATCCACAATTTTTGGGTTAAGCGACTGAAAAGTACACACACTTACATTGCTAAGTACTTCACAACATTTATTGAAAGTCCAGAAACTATCCCCGAATTTCTTGGCAGAGGTAATACATACTTACTCCCCAAATCCGAGCGATTAAATAATCCAACAAAATACCGACCCATTACCTGTTTATGCACACTATACAAGATCTTAACGGCATGTATTGCAAAAAGTATCTACAAACATGTTGAAGATAATAAATTACTTTCTGAAGAGCAGAAGGGTTGTGTCAAAAAATCTCAAGGATGCAAGGAACAGCTCATAATAGACTCAGTAATACTTGAGCAAGCAGCTAACAAACGACGAAATATCTACACGGCATTTATCGATTATAAAAAAGCCTTTGATTCGGTACCGCACTCCTGGCTCCTGAAAGTACTACAGATATATAAGATTGACCATAAAATTATAAATATGCTTCAACATTTAATGTCTACGTGGAATACAGTTCTAGAAATTAATCAAAACCAAGGAATAGTCATATCACAACCGATTAGTGTCCAAAGGGGTATTTTCCAGGGTGACAGCTTAAGCCCTTTATGGTTTTGTCTGGCACTAAACCCCCTGTCTTCGATTCTGAATAAGACCGGCTACGGATTCCATATAAAGTATGACAAGACTCAACATCATGTTATCAGTCACTTGATGTACATGGACGACATTAAATTGTTTGCAGGGAATGAAAAACAACTTCAACACCTTCTTGAAATTACAAAGACTTTCTCTAAAGATATCCAAATGTCCTTTGGGTTGGACAAATGTAAGCTACTTAATATAAAGCAAGGTAGAATAATATCTAGTGGATTCGACTTAGGTGATGGAGATATCATCGAATCCTTGGAAGAACATGAGACCTATAAATATCTTGGACTAGCTCAAGGTAAACGCTTACAGCACAAAGATATTAAAGAGAAAATCACCTCTATATATATTAGTAGACTGACGAATATACTTAAGTCTAAATTAAATGGAAAAAACACATTTACGGCTATCAACAGCTACGCAATTCCGATAATCTCATATACTTTTGGGACTATAAAATGGACGAAAACAGAACTTGAAAATATCCAGATCAAAACGCGAACTACACTAACAAAATTTAGGGCGCATCATCCTAAGGCAGCAGTTGAGAGATTAACCCTCCCACGCAATAAAGGTGGGAGAGGTCTAATTGATTTAAGGTTTCTACACGCCAAACAAATCTATGGTCTTCAACAATACTTCCTGCACCAGGCATCAGGTCTTCACCGAGCAGTAGTGAGAGCAGATAACAAACACACCCCTTTAGATCTTCAACATGCCGTTGACATCAGGCTCCCATCGGATGTAATCTACGAACGAGAGAAAGTCGAGGAGTGGACTCGAAAAGTACTGCATGGGAGATTTCCGCATGAGCTTAACCAAACTTATGTAGATCAAGATGCGTCGAACAAATGGTTATCTCAGGCGGATTTGTTCCTCGAAACCGAAGGTTTTATGTTATCAATCCAGGACCAGGTCATAGCTACGAGGAACTACAGAAAATTCATCCTAAAAGAGCCGAATGTAGTAGATCAATGCCGAAGATGTCATGAACCTGGTGAAACTATCCAGCACGTGACAGCTGGATGTCGAGTGCTAGCGCCAACCTCCTACCTCCAAAGACACGACCAAGTAGCGAAAATCATTCATCAAAAGTTAGCAACCCTTTGTCATTTAAAAGAAGATATTACACCTTATTACAGATATGAACCTGAAAATGTGTTAGAAAATGCCCACTTTAAACTCTACTGGAACAGAAGTATACTTACTGACAAAACAACTCCGCATAACCGACCAGATCTAACATTCACCATAAAAGAGAGGGCATTAACTTACCTTATAGATGTCGGGATTCCTAACACCCATAATCTGCAGTCTACATGGAGTGAGAAGTTAAGTAAATATACCGCACTAGCTGAACAAGTTAAAAGTTTATGGAAGCAAAACGAAGTGAATATCGTACCCATTATAATTTCATCAACGGGCGTAATACCAAAGGCTCTCCACCATAGTTTAAAAAAGTTAGATCTTCCACCGTTACTCTATATACAACTCCAGAAGGCTGTCGTTCTTCAAACAGCCGCAATAGTAAGACGACACCTCAATCTTTAACAAACCAATAGAGTGTTAGAAACTTGCATCACCGCCGTTTCTTACATATTATACCGTACAAAAATACGTGCGCAAACGAATAATAATAATATCTTTATTGCCCAACAGTTACAAACCAATTATAGGACAATTTTACAATATATATCTATAAATTAGTAATACACTAACCTCTAAATAAAAAATAAATGAAAAAAAACATATCAATGTAAATTAAATCTTAAAAATTAACAGAAGTAAAAAGCACTGAAAGGTGAATGATACAAAAATCAGATACCAAGTACAGATGAACAAAACAAAAAAAAATCCAAATATAAACAAACTATAAAAACAAAACACTATATAAACAAAAAAAACTCAAATCACACCGCTGTGCAGCATATTATTAGCTAAAGCAATTATGTGACTTAAGTTATCAAAGAAAATATCACATTTATCAGATATTACGTTATAATTGCTACACATGACATAAACTGGAGATTTAAGCAACAAATTAGTTCTGGCTCTATCACAATAACATGTTCTATGCGATCTAGTCGATATAGAAGGAACCAAATAATCTATATGTGCAACAAGCTCAGAACTATCTATCGCATTATGCAACAGCTTATACAGGAAGACTATTGATGCGCACTTTCTTCTCAAATCGAGTTTGCAACTGAAAGGTGCTAATTAAATTAATGTAGGGAATACCCCTTTCAGGATACACTCCGCTAACTTTATATGAAACAAATTTCAAAAATCTTCTCTGTACTCTCTCAATAAGCTGCCTGTAACAGGTATACACAGGGTACCAAATCAATGAAGCATATTCCAGCTTAGATCGAATGTATGCTGAGTATAATATTAAAAATGCATTTGAGTCAGTAAAAGACGCACAGTTGCGAACTATAAAGCCGTAAAATTTAAGAGCCTCTCGTACCTTGGTTATAATATGATCACTAAATGAAAAGACGAATCAAAATAAACTCCAAGATCTTTGATTACACTAAGTCGTTCCAATTCGGTATTATTTATATTATAATTAAAATACTGTACATTCTTTTTTCTGGAAAATGTCACTATCTTACACTTATCAACATTTAACTTTAGTTTATTCCCATCACACCATTCTACAACGCGATCAATCTGTGTCTGCAAGAAACTACAATCCGCTCTATCCGATATACGCAAGAAAATTTTTAAATCATCAGCAAAAAATAGTCTAAAACACTTAAGGATATTATCTAGATCATTAATAAATAATAGAAATAAAAGTGGGCCCAGGTTTGATCCCTGAGGAACTCCTGACGTAGCAATATAGTCAGTCGAACAGTAGCCACTATATGAGACAAATTGCTTTCTTTGAGAGAGATAAGATTTTAAAAATAATAAAGATGGTCTAGTAAAACCCATAGAGTTAAGTTTGTCCAGTAATATAGAATGATTTAGTTTGTCAAATGCTTTGGCAAGGTCCGTATATATAACATCCACCTGCCCATTACTATCAATGCATTCAGATACATATTGCGTAAAACATGCTAAATTCGTAACGGTAGATCTACCCGTCATAAAACCATGTTGGTTACTAGATATTACACCACGTACTGAACTATATATTCGATTATACATAATTATTTCTAGCAGTTTAGCAAAATTTGATAAGATTGAGATGGGACGATAGTTTTCCAAGTTATTTTGATTTCCTGATTTCAGAATTGGACATACTCTTGCCTGTTTCCACACCTCTGGAAAGGTGTTTGAATTGACAGCTAAATTAAATATTTTACCTAGTGGGGTTGCTAAAATGCCAATGCAATCCTTCACCAGAAATGCTGGAATTTTGTCAGGACCCGATGTCATCTTATTTTTTTAATTTTTTTGCAGCTATGAGTATTTCCTCTTCCGTGATATTAAGAAATGTTATATTAAACTCATTGCTAACCACACACCGATTCCATTTAACATTGTCTTTATCGGGCGGGGTAAAAACACTCTGAAAAAATTTAGCAAAACTATTCACTATTTCGTTTGGACAATCATGTACCTCATCATTAAATTTCATTTGACCGGGTATTCTAGAAGATTTATTCCTCGCGTGGATAAAGTCACAAAAATGTTGTGGATTGGAAGACACAGAGGTTTCGACTCCGCGAATATAATTTTCGTAGTTAGCTTTGATTAAGCTTTTAATAAGTGCTCTCAACTCTCTAAACCTCTGCAAAAATAAATCGCTCTTATATTTCTTATACTTGTTATGATAGACAGCTTTTAATTTAATATTTTTAATAATTTCGGCATTGTACCACGGTGGATATCGTTTTTTATGCGATTTGTATAGAGGTACATGAGTGTCCAGAACATCATACAACAGTTCATACACTTGACTGACGGCTCGATCAACACAAGTAACGTCATCCAAGAATGACCAATCAGTATTAAATATTGTTCGGTATATACCAGAATAGTCAGCTTTTTTGAAATTATATGCCTTATAGGACGTATTAAAACTCAAAGCATTACTCTTAACAAACAAATCAGCGATGCATATAATAAGAGCCGGATGGTAGCTAATATCCTCCGATAAAAGAGGAGTAAGATCTCTCACAACTGTACAACATAGATTAGAAATAACTAAATCCAACAACCTGCCGGTGCTATATAAGCGATATAAGCAAGATATAAGGCAATTTTAACAGTTGCTATGGAAAAAAAATAATATCATTAACTTGCGAAAGTTTTAAATAAGTACTCATTGATTCCTCATGAAAAAATATGAAAAAAAAGTTGTTCTATAAACATCGGTATGGAAATGCGTAGTTTTAGAGTTACAGGATGTTAAAACTTTTTAAAATTAGGTTTTTTGTAATTATCTGAAATACCAGTTTTTTTTATTTGAAATTACTTTAAGTTGTGCTAATAGTAATAATAACTAATAGTAATAATATTTAATAATAAATAAGGTAAAGTATACCTATAATTAATTAATTTTATTTTTATTTTAATTGTATTAATTGTGATTAATAAAATTGCGTTTATTTCATCAAGAGATAACTTTTAATTGGAATTAAAATTATTCGATTTTTATGCCAAAAGAAAAAAAGTCAGTAGTGCACATGATTTTCTTTGAAAAATATTCCAGTGATAACCCATATGCACGTCCCTGATGAATTTATCGAAACTTTTTTAGCATTAAAATATGTAGCACTTATAATAATGTTTACCCTCAAAATTTCATTGGAATCACTAAAAGTACTTCAAGGAAAATTATAATAAATCGAAAGATTATTAATAATTTAACACCCTGTAGCTACGAAACAAAGTAGAATAGGGCCTATGTTGAAATGAAAAATAACTCTTATTTTTACGTGAGGAATCTCCCCACAAGAGATGGCGCATGTTTGGTGAAACACCCTGTATAATCATGTTAACTTTTCAGATACAGCCCAAGTAGCATTTGGACGTTATCTAACGTCGGGTATACGTCGCGTTCAATAAACCCGACGTCGGGTACCAACGTCGGTTCGACCGCCTGACGACCCTTATTTGCACCTAAATGGGGAATACAGATTCGGGTCGCCTCGACGTCGGTATCTGACCTAATAGGGAATGTAATTCTACCAATTACCAACGTCATATTACGTTGAATTTTAGACACTTAAAATTCGTCGCTAAGCACTTACGTTACGTTTGGTTTCATATTCGCTACCAAGAATACATAAAAACCTAACCAAACTACCTAATTACAAATGGATCATAATCACTCCTCGAATATAACTATAAGTGCCTATTTAATTTCATATTATAATAATTCTGAATCATTAATCCAGACATCAGTTTTGTCAACGGAAGTCACTTTCTTGATATATCTGATTAAAATACTCGGAAAACAACGAGCGCCTTCAAAATTAGGTAGATTTATGAAATAAAAATATATATAAAAAGTAACTCGCAAAATATATTTTTTATTTTTCTAGCTGGTTTAATCATAAAACTGTACTGTGGTTCCCCCAAACTCAACCTTATCAATATTATTCCACTAGAAATCGAAATGTGAATATAAATTTTAAAACAAAAACGATTTTAAAATGGCTGACAATCGGATACGTGTTAAGAATGGCGGATTTCTGTGTCCGACTTAATATGAACAACCAATATACCAATTCCGACCGGGTCTCCAACATTAGTCGTCTCACACGACCGAAGTCATCAAACCGGACGACCGGCAATCGTATTATGACGTATATAATTCCAACGTACGCCACGTAACCTCACTTTGCGTTTTGCGTATCTGTGATTTGTGGATTTGTGCAACTATATTTTAGTTTTGTTTTCTTGTTAAAAAAATGGGCAGCCGCTTTTTAAGCCTAACCTCACATGTCGGAGGAGGATGGGGTCTGCTGGAATCCTAAGCTAAAAATGAAATTAAGATGCACCAGTGTAATGCAGCATCTCTTCCGGATAAAAAAGCATTTACGGGTGGAGGCAAGACATCACTACTACTATTATTATTTTGCAAAAGCCTCGACCTCTTTCTGTAAAATGTAGATGAATGTCTAAATGCCTTTTTAGTGTTTTTTTAGGCATAATAAAAAATTTAAGTTTGTTTACAAAAACTTTTTCTTAGGTTATGTTCATGATGTTCATTAGGTCGCAAATGCTACTTAATAGGTTGTATTTACTGACATAAATAGAGATACGTAAATTAGGTTATAAATATGAACATAAAATACAATAAAATATAATTGGACGTTAGTTTAGGGATTATCAGTGAGACGTATCCTATTCGAACAGCGGGTAGACGTCGGGCTAGTTCAAGTATATGTACGTCGTGCAAGCCAACGTGGGAACGACGTTGGGAAATTAATAAAAATGGTACGTTGTTATTTTGTACGTCGACAGATCGTTGGATTTACCGACTCGGATCCAACGACGTCGCTTTTAATAGGAAAGCGACGTCACAGGTCGTATCACGAGCACCCGACCTAAATTTGCACAAAGTCTGACGTCGCTTCAGGTCAGAT